AAGCACCCTTTATAAAAACCCTTAAAACCTACCCTTTGAGGAAGCCCTCCCCAAAATTTGAACAGAAAACAACAAACTGACTCTTTACTATTCCTCATTAGGTTTTATAATGTGACAAAAATGTTCTTTGATGTCAATGTAGTCCGTTTAGGATGAGTAGTCCATAATTCATAAAAAAGCAGATCCAGGGGATGGTCTAAATCCTATTTGAAAAGCTATGGTAGAGTAGCATTATAACATATGAACACATGTGTAAGTTAAATGTTATAATATTTTATATACATATATAATACATATAAATATATATTATGTAAAAATACATATATAATATAAATATAATATATAATAACACCAGCCAAATCCAATTTTTATCACAAAGTTATTATTGATCTGCAATAGTACTTTAGAAGTATTATTTATAACTATACTATGCCAACTGCTTGTTTTGGTTATGATATTTTTAAAATTTGAATTTATCAGTTTAGGACTTTAACTTCTTAAAAGAAATCAGCACTTAGATTTTGTTTTTGAGGTTAACTCTACCAAGATTAGAAGGTACTATATAAAACTATACAGTTCAAATACAAAGCTATTAATATATCATGAGGCATAAAATATTAAGAGCAAATCCAAGTCCTGAGAGAAGTTACAGGAAAACTCTAGTGTTTTATAGCAATTTTACTATGTCCTGAAAACAAATGTTTACAATTTTTGATGCTCTTTATCATGGGCTATTTTAGGCTCTTTTTATGTATTTTAAAAATGTATCTACATAATTGGACGGATTTGTTAAAATTATTTTGACCATAATTTCTCTTTATAAATGCATAGAATAAATATATGAGCTATATGTGGGTTTTTTAAAAAAGATTTTATTTATTTGAAGAGAGAGACAGAGAAGGTGTGAATGAGTGGGGGGGAGGGGCTGAGGAAGAGGGACAAACAGACTCCATGCTGAGCACAGAGCCCAATACGGGACTCAATCCCAGGACCCTGGGATCATGACCTGAGCTGAAGGCAGATGCTTAACTGACTGAGCCACCCAGGCACCCCACAAGATATATGTGTTAACTGGCTTTTTAGGTAAGCCCTATGTGAAATAATTTTTTTTTCATTTTTTTACATTTTTATTTCAATCCCAGTTAGTTAAAATACAGTGTTCTATTAGTTTCAGGTGTACAATATAGTGACTCAACACTTCCATACATCACCTTGTGCTCATCAGGACAAGTGCACTCCTTAATCCCCATCACCTATTTCACCCATCCCCCTGCCAACCACCCCTCTGGTAACTATCAGTTTCTTCTCTCTAATGAAGAGTCTGTTTCTTGGTTTGTCTCTCTCGTTCTCTTATTTTCTTCCCCTTTGCTCGTTTGTTTCTTAAATTCCACATACCAGTGAAATCATATGGTATTTGTCTTCTCTGACTTATTTTCCTCAGCATCATACTCTCTAGCTCCATCCATGTCATTGCAAATGGCAAGTTTTCATTCTTTTTTTATGGTTGAGTAACATTCCACTGTGTGTGTGTGTAGCCCACATCTTCTTTATCCATTCATCAAACAGTGGACATTTGGGCTACTTTCATATCTTGGCTATAGTAAATAATTCTGCAATGTTTATAGGGGTGCATGTATCCCTTTGAATTAGTGTTGTTTTATTCTCTGAGTGAATACCCAGTAGTGCAACTGCTGGGCCATAAGGTAGTTCTATTTTTAACTTTTTTAACCTCCATACTGTTTTCCTATATGAAATAATTTTAATCTTCATTCTTGTCCCCTTTCCCCCCTTTCCCTTCCTTCCTTTTTTCTTCTTCTTTTTTTTTTTTTTGTTGTTGTTGAAGAAAATGAGAAGCTGAATCACACTGCTTGTTTTGGTCAGGAGATGGCTTCCAGTAAAACAGAATTATGAGTCTCCATAGTTTTACCAACATTTATTTGCTAAAGGGTTTGGTTTAGAGGCTTTAATGGCTACAAGAGTGTGTGATAAAAAGACACTGTTATATTTAGAAAGTGCCCCCTCTGAAAAACCCCCACCCTGACTCCCAACAGAGCTATTCCTTCTTTGTAAACATGATATTCTGCTCTATAATAGCTATGGATTGGTGTATACATGTAGATAATTTTCCATCTGGTCCCTGGACTGTGCCTGATGATTGAACTGCCTGGCCATAGGTGTTCTGTGCTTGAGAACATGGACACAGAAGCATTGGCCTACAGCCTATTGGACCATACCAGCAGTGCCTGGACCCGTGTAAGCTGTCCTCACACTGATCAGGGCAAAGTCCAGGGCCAGCTGAGCTAACAATTCTTAACTTATCAGAAATGCATACACCCAACTTAAATGATTTGTTGCTTTCTGACCAGTGGGAAAATATTTGTAACGCACTTTGGACAGTGCTTCTGTGCTCCACACACCAAACTTAAAACACGTAAATGTCAATTGGCAAACATGAAAGGATTCTCATAGGATAAGATCAGCAAGGAATGTTTCTCTGGACAATTTAAACTCCAACTCAGCCATTGACAGTTTGTCCTTTCCTTTTCATTTCATATATAAATATGAAATATTTTGTTTCATATAGCTGGCATGAGACAGTTTGGAACACATAGATTTAAGACGTAGTTATTTTATACTCTTTAAAAAGCAGTTAAGTCAGTCAGTATGTATTTATTAAGTGCCTATCATTTACCAGGCACTGTGCTGGGTCCTGTGGAAAGAAAGACAAAATTCCTGCTCTGAAAGAGATTTTAAATCTCGAAGGGTGACAGACCTGCAAGCAACCAGTCACATTAGAATGTGAAAAAAAGTTATCTTGGAGCTGTGAACAGAATATAATAGGAAATCAAGGAAGGAGTATTTAGGCCTGCCCCATTAAATAGCCATTACTTACCTTGGCTATGTCAGCCAGCTTCTATACCTGCTAAGATAGCATTACTAATTAGCTGTTGACATTGAACACTAGGAAGAAAAATTGTGCCCCAATTTAGAAGGTTAATACGTACCAGTTTAGTTGCCACTTCACAATCTTGTTTTCAAACCATTTCCTTTGACAATGACTAGCTCATTCCCACACTGTTAATCTGAATTAACATTTTCAGGAACAGTCATTCCTACTGAGGAATCACTTTTTCTGAAACATGCATAATTAGGTTCTAGTTATGTAATTCCTTTGTGATGACAGGGTGTTTTCCAACTTATATATTTAAAAAAAGGACCATTTCAAGAGGACCTGGAGGCTGATACCCTATGTCCTTCTCTGAAAACTTCCTGTTCTTTTAATTAGGAACATGCTGCATCTTTAGTTATTTTAATTATTCTATTTGTTAAATCCAACTCACAGTTAAGAATATCCATATATTGTCTGATTAGCTAGAATTCTGATTTTCAAATGTGGGAATTCCTGAGACTTTTAAATCTAAGGCAGTAGACCAAGATCCCAAACTTCCTTCTATTCTGATAAGCTTCCATTTAAGATTCAAGAATGCAATGAAACTTTCTGCCGCTTCAAGTAGGGCTGAGCCTACTTTTAGTAACTTTAAGAAGCTGAAGTTAAAAAAGTATTTGTGGACAGGGGATCTTTTTCTCACATTCTGTTTACTTCCAGCTTCCCACCTTCATCCTTTCCATTTTAAACAAGTATTTTAATGAATACCAGGCATCTCAGAAATCAGTGTTCAGGAAAGAAGTCGCTGGCGTTGAAAATCACCGCCACTCAACGGGGGGCAAAATTGCTGGGGGCTGCTGCGGTCACTGCAGTGCGCACCTGACGTCTCCCTGCTGACAGCGGATCCGGCCTCGGAGGGAGCGCATTGCACATTTTGCTCCAGCCGGGAAGCGGCGGGCGGCGGGCACTCCCAGCAGGGCACAACCTCGCGGTGCAGAGCGCTGCAGAGCGCCGCAGGCGCACGGAGCCAATCACTCTGCCCCAAAGATGGCTGGGACAAACGCTCCAGGGACAACTTCAGCCATCCCAGAACCTCCTGAAGATCCCTCATGTGGTTCCTCCGCAGAAATTGTCTTCTATTTTTGGTCCCCAGGAGAACTTCAGAGAACGGGGAAAGTTGGGTGGCTACTGAGGCCTCTTTCAAGAGTAAGGATTTGGAGTATGGCAAAGATTCAAACTGTGGGCCTAACACTGATGATCTCTAGGATCTCTGCGCAGAGTTCTGACCATCGCAGCCTCAGACCCAGAACCCAAGGGCAGGGTATCGCGCATCTAGAGACCAGTCTGGGTCTTGACCCCTTTCTCTGGTTCCGGGAGCCTTCGTCCAGCCGTGGCGGAAAATCCCCCAGGTTCACGCAGGGCGGGGAATTCGGTGGAGAAGGCCCGGTCCCTTTGATTCTTTTGCAGCAACTTCTCAGTACACACGGCGGCGGGCTGGACGTCTGCTCAGAGTAGGCGACAGGCACCCTTGGCGGACCAAAGCGGACTCCTTCCTAGGACCTGTTGGCGGGAGTGGAGGACCCTGAGAGGACCCTTCCTGTCCCCACCCCGCCTCCTTCCTATAGGAGGTGAAAATCAGCCCTCCGGCAGGGTTTACTCCTCTCCTCCTAAACCTCCAGCTCAGCTTTTTAAAGGCGTCCAGAGCATCCTGCAACTTTGGGGAAAGAGAGTGCGCAACTCTCGCTCTCCCACGGCCCCTATCACGTTAATCCGTTTCCTTCAAACTCGCGGTGGGTAGTATCCTCGCCCCAACCTGGAAGCGAGCGCCCCCGGCTGTTCACGGCAGCCCCTCGGCGCCTGTTTGCAGGGAGCTCGGTTTCTGGCTCGTCGCAGATCCAGCTGCGGTTCTGACCAGTCCCCAGCCTCTCGAGGCACACGGGCGCGTGCACACACACGCGCTCACACTCCCGCTCACACTCCCGCGTCCTCGCTCCCGGCACCCCACCCTCCGAACCGCTCCTCCGCGGGGTGGGGGTGGGGGGTGGGGTGACGTCAGGACTGCAGTCCCGAGGAGAGCGGCTGGAGAGGGTTGCGCGCTCCTTGCCTAGGAAGCTGGAGGCGCACTCCAGCAGACGCCGCTCCCGCGCTCCTCCCTCTCTTCTGCACCCGCTGTCACGCTGCCCGCCGGCGGGGGAGCATCGCGAGCCTCCAGGTGAATTGAAAGTCGTTTCCGGGGGAGGACGGAGAGGGGTGCTGCAGTCCTGGCATGCACTGAAAACTGCAACTCGGACAGAAACGACCCGGCGGAGGAGCGGGCGCGCGGCGCCGTGCGCAGCCTCCCCGGGCTGCTGGAGGCGGCCGCTGCACAGCTCACAGCCGAGCGCGGCGGCAGGACCTCGGCCCCGGGACGCCGGCCCTGGGCGCGCTCGCCCGGGAGAGACCCCCAGTCCTGCGCATTTCGCAGCTGCGCCGGTGTGGGGAATGCGCGCGCGGTGGCTCCAGGTCGCCGCCGAGCAGCTGCCTGTGGGAGAGAGAGGCGAGGCGAGGGGGCGGCAGCCTCGGCCCGAAGTAAGTGCAGCAGAAGTTTGCGTCGTTTTCCCCGCCGCTCCCCTTGAGAGAGTGGGAAGCACATCTCCTCCCCTCGTTCTCTGAGGATACGGAGGGCAGACTTAGGAGACAGGCTCGCCCGGGAGACAAAGTGAGCGTTACCAGAGGGCGGCGAGGACCCCGGGAGGGCAAAGGCACGGAGGGACCCCGATAGGGTGAGGGGTGCCAGAGGAGGAGACCCCAGCTGGGGTGAGGGACGCGAAAGGAGCCCGACCCAGGAGATCTCAGAATGGGAGGGATCGGGGGGACGGGGGAGGGGAGTGAAGGTGGAGGTAGTCACGCCTATTCTGGTGACCTTGGCGTGCCCCCCTGGAATGGCAAGCCGGGGGCTTGTTCGAGGTTGCAGACAGTGCGACTAGGATATTGCGTGGCTTCTCACCCGGGGCTGCGCTGAGGCCATCGCGCTTCCGGACGCTGGACGGCGGGGGCAAGAGGAGCGAGAAGCCGGCGCGAGACGGCGACGCTGGAGGGTGGGGACGCCGGCGAGTCCGGACCCGCCGCTCGGAGCGCGAGGTTTGGGGTCCTCTGAGACGCTCCAGCCTCGACGGAGGAGACCCCGGTCGAGGGAGGAGGCGGGTGTGAAGCTTGAGGTCGCTGCAGTTGCTGTTGGGCGTCTCGGGAGCCTCGGTGGCGAGTGCTCGTAATTGGGCGGCTTCTCCGAGGGCGAGCGCGCTCGAAGCAGGCTGACCGGCGGCGGCGGGCCCCCGGCTGCTCCCCGCTGCGCCTCCGCCCGTCCCCCCGAGTCTGCAGGCTCTTCCCCGCCGCGACGAGGGCCGGGCGCCCCCGGGGTTGCCGGAGACCCTAGCTTTCTGCTCGCTCGTTCTCGGGGCACGTTCAGCTCTTTGGGGCTCTCTCATCTCTAACCGGACTCCCGAAGGAGGTTCTGTCCTTTAACGGACCAAACTTCTAATGGGGAAAAAAAAGTTCATGGAAGCCGCGCGCCTCCCTCGGCGCAGAGCCCCGCAGAGGGTAGGCGAGGGCGCCACGGGCCGCCTCGTCCACCCTCTTCTCACCTGGGGAGGGCTCTCAGGGAATTTTGTACAAAATGTGATGCGATTGTTCTGGGAAGGCAACGGAGGCATCTTCTTCCAGAGTAGGACTGTTTGTGCCTAGGAAACCGGGATCCCACCCAGCTTCTGGGACCAAGGGTAGATCCACTTTGGGGCAAGAAGGAGATGGTTAACTAAATCCCATATTTTAAAAAGTCATTCCCGATGCATCCTGATTATCCAGTTTCATTTACTCAGATTCATTTATTTATTCATGCAAAACACTTTATGAGGCTCAATGTGTGCCAGGCATTGTGTTAGATGCCGGGGCAATAGAAATGACTGATGTATGGTTCCAGTACTCAGGGAGCTCACAGTCTGTGAGAGCAGTGATCGGGAAAGAAGATGGGAAAAATACATGTCCTACAGAAAAGGGCAGGTGCTACCTGGTTTTCACCAGTGACTCACTCCGGGCTCATTAACTGTGGAGCCCAGCATCTGCTATATTTCATCCTCCCTGAAGGCAGGGAAACTATCCATGTTTGATGCTCAGAGGCCAACTCTGTGCCAAGCACATAGTAGGTCATTGATAAAGTCTGTTAAATGAATGGATGAAAGGATTAATTATTCATAGTGAAAAGTGTCTTAAAGGTAATCATGCTGTATAGTAGTCCCCCCTTATCAGCAGAGGAGGGAATACTTCCCAGAGCCCCAGTAGATGTCTCAAACCTTGGAGATAGTACTGAACCCTATATTTACTGTGTTTTTTTCCTATACATAATACTTATGATAAAGTTTGATTTGTAAATTATGCAAGTAAGAGATTAACAATAACATGATAAAATAGAACACTTATAACAGTATACTGCAATAAAGTTATGTGAATGTGGTCTCTCTCTCTCAAAATATCTTACTGTACTCTTCTCACCCTTCTTCTTGGGGAGATGTGAGATGATAAAATACCTACCCAATGAGATGAAATCATTGTGACGTGGCATTAGGCTACTACTGACCTTTTGACCAAACCTCTGTGGGTAACTGAAGCCTTGGAAAGTGAACCTATGTGTAAGGGGTGGGAGGTTACCGTCTGGGGGGACATTAAAGAAGAAAAAGAATGAGTTGAAAGGGAAAGAAATCAAGGGAGCTGGGGAGGGCAAGAGAAAAAAAAAAAAGGTAGGGCTCGTGAACATTTGGAAGTATATATTCTTTAACAAACACCTTTTGTCTTCCATGTTAACCCAGTGGAAATTAGCAGCACCCAACTCATTGTGCTCTCTCTCTGAAATACCTGCATCTCTGTGGATATTTGGATTATAACTTCTTTAGAGCAAGTCCTCTGTTAATTACCGTGTGGAGGTCATGATGCCGTGTTCATGTGGATATGTTGATAATATGGTGATTTGGATGTGTCTAGCATAGTGGAACAGGTTGATGAAAGCATACATTAGAATTACCAAAATAATTCCTTCAAACGTTTTATAATATTTTGCTATTTAATGTGCAAATTTCTACTTGTGTATTTTAACCTATTTAATTTAAACTTGATTAAAATACTTATACATAGATTTTACCAATGAAGATTAAACACATATGCACACTCTCCTTGGCTTAAGTAATTGAACTCATTACACAGGTAGAAGGTGGGAAATTCCCAGGTGAATGATAAGGGTTTTATCCCCATTAATTTAATTTTACTATTTTTACCAGGAAACTAAAACTTCATATTTTTTAATTATGTGTACAACAGAATTACTTACTTTTTTTAAAACCAGTATTTGTCAACAGTAATAATTATTTGGTGATTTGAGTCAAGAGTTTATAGGCAATAATCCTGGATTTAGTTATTGGAACCTTTTTACTGCAATGTGAGTTGGGGCCATCCTAGAATTTTTATAAACTTCATTTTCTCTACTTAGGAAACAAGATTATTTTACTTAAATGATTTAATTAGGCATTTAGAATCAGAATATGTCAATGTAGAGCATGCTATTTTTAGACATTGTATTCTGTGGTTGATGTCATTAATTTAGTGTATCAAACTGACAAGCAATTTGTAATTAATAAATAGAAAATAACCCATATTTTCCATTATTCGGTATTTTGAAGGTGTTTTAGGACATTATCAGAGTTCTAGGAAGAGTATTGTGATTGTGGACAATGTACGGTGATTAAAAATTGTATTTTAGAAGTAAAAATAAATAAATACTAAAAACGGGTAGCTCAACTTTGGGATTCTTTAACCAAACACAGAAATGTTTCTTCTGTGGTGGATATCTGACTTGAATTATTATAAGAATTGCATTGTTAGATCAAGTGACTCTTAGACTGAAACTTGCAGATTTGACAAGGAGTACATTCTAGAAGGCAGGACTTTATTTTGGAAATGTAGTTAGGGTACCAAGATGCTGAGGTTACAGGAGTGTGAGGTCATAGATTACTGAGCTTAGAAATTATCTAGCTTTGTTTTCACAGATGAGAAAATTGGGGCCTAGAAAGGTGAAGGATCTAAATTTCCCAGTATCACACTCATATGCCTAGGAGTCCCATATATTGTCCACTGTAGGCTTGACAAGAAGTCATGCCCTGAGGGCACCTCAACACAGGGGCAACTTCATGGGTCTGCTATCCTTGGATTTCCTCTTTTCTCTCCCTCCAGCTCACATCCTCTCCTTGGTCCCACCTCTGAGAGGTCCCACCTGCTAACCTCCTCCTCTCCCTGTTCCTGCTGCTTTTCCAGGTCCTTCATAGGACAGAGCAGTGAAGGACTTGGTCAGGGGTCCATGACTTCCAGCCTCACACACAGGTCTAGACCCAGACAAAACTGTGGAGTGAGTCAAGTTTGGATTGGGTGCTTCTCACATCTACTTTCCTACATTTTGACCCCACTGCGCATCGTAGATCATAGTTTCAGAGCCAGAAGGGGCTTTAGAGATCATCTGGTCTTTACATAGATGGTTTTATAGATGAGGGCACTCTGTCCTGGAAAAGGTTCTGTGACAGTCCTATCACAGCCATTGTGCAGGACTTCAGATCGAGTTCTGATTCTCCTTGGCTGCTATGTTCTGTCTCCACTGAACAGCACCGGCTGGTGTTTTATCGCTCGGTTAACATAAGCGTGTGGGCTCTGGAGAGAGACAACTTGCGTTTACGTTCTAACCCTGTCTCTCCCCAGCTCTGCAACTGTGGGCAATTACTTGAGTTCCCAACGCCTTTGTTTATTTATTAGCAGATTTTTGTTTGGTTTTGTATATAGGTATGGATGTTTGCATAATTGTTTGTTTATTGCTTCCACTTTAGGTTGTAAGTTTTATAAGAAAAGGAACCAAGTATTTCTTGCTTGCTGCATGTCCAAGACAAAGTGTACTGTTTGGCACACGAAAAACACTCAGTAAACATTTGTTGAATAAAAGAATGAATGAATGACTAAGTGAGTGAGTGAGGATATAATGACAGAGTGAAGGAGGGAGGTATTACTTAGGTAGAATTGGAATTCTTAATATGAGAGCCATGTCCTTCTGAAGATTCTAGATGTAAAATGCTGTCCTCTTTGCATATCACTTTCTGGATAGATGGGACCCTGAAATGCCCCTTCCCCAAGCCCACTTCTGTCCCTCAC